ATATTTAAAAATACAATGTTTAATCTATGGATAAAATTAAGTAAAAAAGGATATGCTATTCTCCACTGTTATGAGTTACTACTTGACCATATCAAAATTACTATTATGTATTTGATCATTATTATAGTAAAAAAAATTGATAAATATAGACAAAATGGTAAAAGATTATTTTCCAATGGATACTGAATGTAAAACAGCAAAAGGAAACCAATGAGAGGGCTAAAACACCCAGTATCACTAAGCCTCTTTTGTCAAGAAACCCACATATTTGGTAGCTGGTATTAAGCAAAGAGTGCAATAAAAAATTATCTGTAATGGCAGTGTTTCATATAGAAATAACCCTATGACATACATTATTCAGGAGTTTTTAAATATTTTTCTTTTTAGAGTCTTTCATCCAAGATCTTAACTGAGAAAAACTGAGGAAAAAAAATATGCATGGCAGGGATGGCAAACTCTAAAAATACACATTTACTTGTACACAAACAAGTAAAACACTAGTAGACTTTTCCCTCTATCTAGTGAATTTTTCATTCAAATTCCTTTAAGAAATGCTGTTGTGCAATTTTGTCTAGAATGCCCTTAAAAATCACTTAGATTCTTGTACTATTCCATGAATTTATTCACTTTAGTATTTAGAATACATTTCATCATAGGTGGCTATTCAGTAGCAGGTGAATAAAATTTGAGTGCCCATACAGAACTCATTGTTACCTACAAACTTTTCCTACTAGATCATATTCTGATTGTCTACTGTAGACCATTCCTGTATATAAAGGAACAGGTAACAGAAGAGTTTTCAACCTTCATTGTGTATTACTTCTTTGGATACATAATATTAAGCATTAGGGCAAATTAAGAATGTCTTTCTCTGCTGACCATAATGGAATTACCAAGTAGAAGAGTTATAAAAGATGGCCTATTTGTGCTTATGATCTATACATTTTTTCTTAGTTTTCCTAAACTTGTTTTTGATTTGGGAGTTAGAACTATCTCCTTCAGAGAGGACAATGCCATTTCTAACAAAAGTCAGAAATATAACTGATATATAATTTCACATAGTTTTGTAGTTATAAAGTGATTATAAGATTTCCAAGCAACTAACTAGCAAGTGAAATACTGCAATTCCCCTGCTATTTAGATATCTTTATAGCATGGTCTTAAAACATAGTAAGCTACACTACTGAAGGATTACATGTGCAGGCCATAAATAATAGGTAGTATTTCTGCTATTGAAGATTTTTAGTTACACAAATATATACAATGTCAATTGACATAGTCATACGACCTGTGCTAGATTGTATTATGTTGTTCATTCATAAAATCTTCACAAAATATGGCCAGAGAATTTAATGAATAACATTTAACACATAGATCAATATATGCTGCATTTGTAACACAGTGAATGCAGTTATTGGAAATCTGGCACTGAATGCAAGTTATAAGAAAATGCAGCACAGCCTTTAGACAAGCATTACAAGACTGGTATTATGATTATTTTTTCTAATTTATGTAACCTTTATACCAATGTTCTCAGATTTTAGAGACTTTGCAGTCCACATTCACAGAATTTTAAACAGCATCTTTATTTGCTTACTAATTAGAAACAATCAAACTTGCATTGAAGTAGGAAAGGCAAGTTTTAGCCTACCTTGGTTGACCTGGACAGCTAAGCAGGATCTGGTTAGTATCAGGATGGGAGACCACAAGGAAATACTAAGTGTATAAGCTAGCCTGAGAAGCTGAACAAATATTCTGTATTGCTACCAAAAAAACTGTGGACATGTCCATGAAATTGTCAGGAGCTGGGCTCAATCTGAGTAAGCTTTTATTTTACATTTTGAAATATACTACAAACAGCAAGGTTCTTCATGCTTTTTAAATAATTATGCTTAACTGAGTGTTCATCATTAATAAATACATCCAAATATGTATTATTTTGATACACTACAACTGAATGTTGATCACAACTCTAATTTCTACAGAGTTGTAATTCCCATCTCATCATTCAACCTTTACTACCTATGTGGTTTGTCAACTGTTTCTGCCACCTTACAGACATGTATCTGAATTATATTTCACTGTTCTGTGTGATATTATCATAACACTATATTAAACATTTATGAAAATTCACTAATGCTTTAGGGGAATGTAAAGGCAGATGAGAAATAGCTGTGATGATTTTTTATGCAATTCAGAAAATCAGAAGACTACCCCTACTTTGATGGGATAGTGCAAACTATGTGATTCACCGAAGTAAAGAAATTAGACATTGAGTTCTCATCTCTCTCCATCTCCACGTAAAAATAGAGGAAATATGGACTAAATTATTGCATCTTCCAACTTTTCCAATCTGTCCTTTATTAATTATAATACTTATCTCTTATTAAATAGCTACAGTTAAAGTATGTTTAGAAAAGCAAGGACATCAAATTGCGCTACGCTTATTATAAAGAGTATACTGTGAAAATGCATCAGCTCATCATCACAGTAATCTCACAACAGTCTCATCAGAGGTCAGGAAAGAAAAATGCTGACTTAGAAATCTTGGGATGCTTGCACAAAGCTGCCTCATCTCTCCTCTCCTCTCCTCTCCTCTCCTCTCCTGAGTAGCAGTTTTGAAATGCTCTGCTTCGACCACCATGAAGTGGGCCTGCATTCCTCAGGATGACTAATGGAAGGGCACAGAAATGGCAGGCAGCCCACCACCCATCCCAGCCAATGGGGGAATAGCAATGCTGCCCCTCAAAAAACTGGAGATTGGTGTCCACTGGGGAAGAATTCCCACAGCATGAGATCCAGCAATGGAAATCTTGCTGTCACCCCTCCCCACAAAGAAACACTACAAAACTGTTCTTGCAGTGTTTCCTCTTGCTCCACCGCAGGGCTATCAGTTAATCAGCTCAGTTTCTCAAGCTCCACAGTCTCACAGGACACAGGGGCAGTGCCAGTCTCAGATCGGTGCAGCCCTCATGTGTGAAAGAGCCCTGGTGTCAATGTTTATGAAGGACAAAAGCAGCTGCTAACATTTGATAATATGCAGCGCATCCTAAGGTGCTTGTTGTTTTTATTGGTTGGATATTAAATCAAAACATTCTGCCTGTTTCTTATATTTTCTGTTTCAACAGCATTATTATGTAACAGAGCTTAGAGAAAATGTCATACCCTTTTTCTAGGATACATGAGAACAAATAGAATTTTTGTTTAGCTGAAGTGATTTTCAGTGAAAACGTGTTCTTTTCTCCTAAGAATTACTTTGCAAAGCTACGGCTTGCTCAGGCTGTATTCCGAGTCACAAGCACCACATGTGGTTGAAAGAAAATAAACATTGTACTGCAGATTGCCATGGGAAGGAAAAGACCAGTACAAAGGGAAGTGTAGAACTAGAGACCTTGGTCTTTTCATCATGCTCAGCCCTTAGGTAGTTCAAGGAGGTACTTGCGGAGAAGCAGAGTCATTGGTTGTTTGTGTAGAATACCTCATATCTCTCACTGTTCACTCTGATGGCAGGTGGTTTCATGTGTAGTTTTAGTTTCTTTGTGATTTTAAGAGTCTTTAAAGCTGCATCATTCGGAATCGGATAAGTCACTTTAAACAAAGCAAAGCAAGAATATGACTATTTATAAGACAGTATTTAGTTACACTGCACTTCCAGTGATGTCACCAATTATTTTAAAACATCTTTTCAGCTACTGAAGGAATTTTAAACTAGTGATGAAGTGCAGGCAACTGAACCAAGAAAAATGTAATAATAAAAGAGAACAATTCTAACAAACTTCTCAAAATTGCACAAAATTAGAGTACTTTTCATCTCTATTGAGGAACAACATTGAAGTTTAAAATAATTGTTGATCCATATCTGACCCTAGCCATTTGTATGACAGTCATCTGATTTTTCTATGAAAAAGACAGATTGAAAAATAATGTGTACAGCAGAAGAAAACTATTGGCACATATAGATGATATTATTCTAAAATAAAGTTAATGCCCCAAACATTAGCTTTCATTACCCTAACTCTAATATAAGGGGGTGTTTTTTTTTAACAAATACACCTGTAACTAAATTTGCTATACAATAGTAGAATTATGCAAGTAACCATTCTGCATTATTGAGATAAATATAATTGATAACCTTAAGATAAAGTTTCCTATACTACAGTTAGTATAGGTGGGAAGGACAGTATTAGTATTAGCAGCTCTAGAAAAAGCTTTATATATTGTTTTCAAGATAGCAGCAACAGCATGTGACATAGGGCAGATACCTATAAGGGGAGCCAGATGTAAGGTAATCCAAGATATAATTGGAATTAAATCAAACAGTTTCCAAGAAGGTGGAACTCCTCCTTATATTAAACAAGGAAATAACTAACCCTTTAGTAAGGAATTGCTTTAGAAGATTTAAAACAATCTCAACACTCATGCTACTTTTACAGCATACTGTATAAATCATTATGCTTTTTGCCTTTAATTAAAATAACAAAATTGAACCCTTTTGAAAAATGAAGGAGAGGATTTTGCTATATCAAATGTATTTGGTATTCAAGAGACTTGGAATCGTTTATCTGTCATTCATGTTAGTTTAAAAAAAACTAGCACAAATGAGTTAATTATTATTGAGTCAAACTACATCCAGCTTTTCCAATTTCCAAAGGTATTTATAATATCCAAAATAAAATGGTTTATGTGAAGGCATGCTCAGTAATACATGTTTTTGTTCCTATAAAGATTAAAAAAAAAAAACAACTTGGAGCTGAAATATACATTTTCCTCAACAGAGTATTAGAAATCATGTTAATTATTTCAGGTTCCTTTATACTTCTTTTGTTAATGGATAAGGGAACAATTCTCATAGCACCATTTATTCCACACTATACAATGTGTTATAAAGCAAAATAAAATAACTTCTGCATTAAGTATTTTCCTTTCAATATCAAAATCAGTTTCGCACACCTAGAAGAGCTTGATTCATCAAATTAGCATTGTTTGATTACAAATGTCCAGTTCTATAAATGAGTTACTGTTTAAAAAATATTAAAAAGTGACATACTGCAACACAAAAATAAAAAAACATCTGATCAAGTTATGTTGGCAGAAGTGGAACTTGGTTAAGTGATACACAAAAGTGCCTTATTATTTCTATAAGTCTCAATAGAAAGCCGAACAATCCACAGGACTAAGTAAGGGAAAGAGATTTGCTTACAAGGATCCATATCTGCTCTCATATTTAGAGACAATGTTCTTGCATTTTCCCACTTCCTTCCGTAGCTCTGCTACTTCGGTCCTCAAGGCTGTATTCTCCTTCTCCAGAAAAGCAGCTCGGATTGTGATCTGATTCTCTTTTAGGCGCCGAGCATCCCGAGATCGCTTGGCTGCCACATTATTTTTCTTCCGCCTTGTCCAATACTTTTCATCCTATGTGGAAATAATCAGTTTGACAGTTTAGTACTTAAAAGATATTGCATTGATTTTTGACATACTGTACTATCTGTTTTTTCTTATGACCAAATATGGCTAGAATGCTTGGCTGCAAGCTAGTGCCCACAGTTATTGTTGTCCATGCTTCAGTAACCTTCAGCTACTGCAATGAGGTGCAGAGGGCCACATACAAAGGCTACTTAGAAATCTGGTCTAGAATATTATTAGGTAATAGATATAGAAAGCAGTATGTATAGGAATTAACTAAAAACACTACTGTTGACCAGAACCAGTCAGTCAAAAATATCATGCCAATTTTTAATAATTTCTCAGGCTATCTTTTGCCTAATGGCATTTTTTGTTCATCTGTATGACAAGCCCCTAATTTTGTTATGGCATCATAGTGCCCTCAAAATATCTAATAATTTGACCAGATGCTGAGAGTCCTAGATAGAATTCATTTGTTTCTCAAAAACATGCTTCTTCCATGTAATCTCATTTACACAAAGACAGAATTGATAAAAATCAAAGTGTGCCTTTATAATTCCTTCAAGAATCTTTAGGAAGGTGAATTTAGCTCCTAATTAATTTCTGATCTGCTGGCAAAGCCCAGAACGTCATAAATTGAATACTGTCCTTAATTTGGGAAAGGAACAGTCACTTCCCCCCTTTCATACCCCTTCATTCAATAAAACTGGTGAGATCTGCTCAGAAGGGAGAGGAAAGAAGAAAAGCAAAAAATAAGATGGGGCTTCTACAAATACCCTCTCCACAATGAACAGGCACTGAAATCCAAAACCTTATTCAAGGAGGTAATACTCAGTGGGGAGCCAGCTTAGTGTAGAAGTTAAAAGCACCGGGCTAGAAACCAGGAAACTATGAGTTCTGGTCCTCCCTTAGACACAAACCCAACTAGGTGACTTTCTCTCTCAGCCCTAGGACTTGCAAGCCACTCTTGCAAGGCTGGCTGGGGAATTCTGGGAGTTGAAGTCCACCCATCTTAAAGTTGCCAAGGTTGAGGAACCCTGCCCTAGGAAAAAGGCACTTGTCCATATGGTCACCAGGAGTCTTAACTAGGCTGACTGCACTGATTTTACTTGGAAATCTGTGTGATTGTTGCCTTCCTTATATTTCCCTTTTCCCAATAAATTTCTGGTATCAACAGATGTGGCTTAAATAGTTATGTAAGATCATTTTTCATTATAATCTTGCCTATATATGCTATACAGCTGCCCCTTGTGCTTCAGCTTGTATACAAGGTTTATAAACCTTTTGTATTTCTGGGTTCTGGGAAGGAAGATTTTTTTCATTTTTCCAGACCCATCTCTCCCCCCTCTGCCCGCCTCTATTTTCTTGAAGCTGGACTGAAGCAGAAAGTCCTGGATAGAAAAGCAAAGGACCGAATAAAGTATGGACAGAATAAGGGATACCAGGAAGTTCAGCCTGACTAGTTGCAGTTTGTAATAATTATCTTTTATTGGGGAAGCCTTGGAAGAGGTTTTAAATTATCCTCCTTCTGGGTTGCAACAATTGAAATAAAGTATCCTTGATTAAATCCTAGCAATATTAATAAATTACATGCTGGGGACAGGTAAGAAGATGGTAAACTGCCATTCCTCAAGAAACCCACACTAAATCCATCAGAACTTTAGAACAAATAATCTGCAGATTAAAAGGACTTAGTTGTTGTGGGAAACTCCAGGACATAAGTGTTGAAAATGTACTTTGCAGTCAACAAACATGATTTCAAGTACCTCTGAAATATGATCATTCATTTAAGCAGTAATAGACAATTACCTTTTGATCTTCTGGGACAAAGACTTTCTTGGCTTTTTTAATCATAGGCTGTGGTTTCAGGTCCTCTTCAGCAAACTTATGCTTTCTAGGATTAAAGAGCTCTCCTCCAGGCACACTGGACAGCACTAAATCAGCAGGGTCAGGGTTGAAATTCACATCAACCTCAACACAATCTGGATCAACAGGACTGGGAGTCAATCTTTCATTATCTGGCGTGGACTCTGGCAAAAGGAAGATAAACTCAATAGTCAGCAGCACAAAGAAGATAACTGTGAAGAAACAGAAATGTGAAAAGGCGCCCTTTATTGGAAAAAAATATTATTTAGTGCAATTCCAGTACCTGACACTTTAGAAAGAATAACTCTATAACAGATGTACAATATAACTAGATATAAGATAACCAAGAGAAAGACAATTAAAGGGGAAATAATGTACAATTTCTTCACCTACATGTCCGAAACTTAACTTATCCATAAAATATGCATTAAGAGAAACATATGTGACTTTGTGGCTAGCCATACTCTAGTTATCTGAAAGCATAATCAAATATTACTTGAAAGAAACCTGCACTTCTATCACAGTATTATGATATGTTCCTATGCAAAGGTTTCAGAAACAGTAATGAAAGCTATTATTAAGATTATTTTGAAGAAGATACTATAGATAAGGGAAGAATGTCCCTTATACTGAAGAAAAGACATTCACATGAAGAGGACACAATACTGGAAAGACCTGTACTTAAGCTTACTTAAACAAAGGCAGTGGTATTAATTTTCAGAATTCTCAGTTTCCCTATGTCCACTGAAAATATTGAGGGAAACCCATTTTAAATGGCTCTCCAAATAAATATGTGAAAATCTGATTAGAAATAATGTACCTGGCATGCAAAAGCATTCCAGGAATTAAAACTATGAATTACCATATGCATGGGACTATTCTCATATATATTCCCAAAGGTTTGTCTTAAACCATAGGAGTCTACATAGTCGAAGCGCAGTTTTTCCTGGGTGAAATAGGAAGGAAATGATCTTCCAATAGAAATTCTTCAAGAAAGAAAGAAAAAATTATAGAGACAAAACAAAAAAGGACCAAAAAAAGGAGGTCCACAAATACTGCTAAGAACCCTGAACAATAATAAAAAGTACAATTTTATTCAATAAGAGTTTTATGTCTAGAAATAAAAAGCAATGAGATGAGAATACCATTTAAGAAAAGCAAAAAAATGTAATTTATAAGTCAAAATGGAATCAGGACAACCACAATTTGGCTATCTACTCACTTGTAAGGAAATATTTTGGTACTAGACACTTTGGACATTTGACTGTAACACAGAGGAATTCAGATACATGATAACGTGGAAAAAATTAGAAAATGAGCAAAAACAATTATAAAATTTCTACAAGTTTTTTGAATTGCAAAATACACAGGTAAATTCGTATGCATCTTCATGTACATTTCTCTTTATATTTTCCAACATTTTAAAAATCAGTTTTCCCAAAACAATACTTTTTGACCTAGCATAAGGATTTTTCTAAACTGTTCCTAAGATGTACAGTGGTACCTCTAGTTACGAACTTAATCCATTCCGTGACTCTGGTTGCAACTCGAGTTGGTCTCAGGTCGAGGTAAAGTTTCCCATAAGGTTCAATGTAAATACGGTTAAACTGTTCCGCCCTCCGAATTTGGTCGCACCACGAGGCAAATTTCCCCATGAGGTTCAATG